AATTTCCCCGAGTATAGATTTGGGCGTTTTTCAAATGTTTCTCTATGAGAAGTTATACTAAGTGGGGCTATTGGTTTCACTGAGAGGCTGGGCTGAACTTTGGGAGACTTTTGCTAAAAACATACAGAAACCAAAAGAAATTCATTGACAAACAGGCAGCAAAAGACAAAGCTGAAGATGAGATTATATTTTCCACCCACAATCTCTTCCCCTAGTCCCTCTACTCGACACCCTTCACTCCCTCCACCTCGGCCTTCCCTCAGACATAGGTCACAGCTATGCATGCTGCCAAAGTACAACATGCTACTCTACCAGGTGTTACTTTCAAATAATAAATGTGGGAGTTTTAGCCTTGGTAGGGGAGTCAATCTGGTGGAAAGGTCACAGACACTTTTTTCCTGACTACAATTTTGCTGTGGATTAGAGAAAACACTGTAATTTGTGCAACTTCAAAGATGCCCAACACTGTAATTATGCAGAGCTATTTTTGTTCCATATAAGCACAGACCAAAGAATTACGCACAACTTACTTCCCACACTGCACATCAAAATCTGCTAAAGAACATTGTTAAAAGGTTGCAACATCCAGTACTTAAAGCTAGGATATGGCAGAATTAACCTGGCCTGTGGAATTTACATTCAGTCCTCTGGCATAGTGTATGTTAGGACATGCTGTTCAGCTACACAGTATTTTTCTCCACAGGACCCTGCCTCATTCAGGGTGGATGACACTATTTATTGAGCTGCTATTCAAGGCTGTGTTCTTGCCTCATTGTTTAACATGTCGCCTCAGGCCCGAATTACTGTACACTACTCAAATCTCTCTGCAGAGGGAAAAGCCTATGAGGAAATTAATTGTTTCGTGGTGCTCCACTCCACAGTAACCAAGTGCTTCATGAACAGTAATGCAGGCCCCCTCTACACATTAGACTTAAGGCATAATTAACCAGGTAATCATGCCTTAAGTTGTGACCCGATTACACATTCAACCAATTAATGGTGTGATAAAATAAGTAATAAGCTACAAAGTTATTCCACAAAAAATGTGTAATAACTTTGTAGCTTGTTCTAATTACACCATTAATCAAATGTGGGCAAGGGCTCCCCCTGTGGCTGGGAGCCCCATTAACAGAGGGGCTCCCAGCCCCAGGGAAACACTACTCACTGCCAGCCTCACAGCTGACAAGGCTTGTAGTGGCAGTGCTGTCAGCTGTAGGGCTTACAGTAGGGAGAACACTGCCTCCTGTGTGAGCCTCCTTGGCTGCAGGGCTCACAGTGAGAAGAGCCCCGCCACTGCTGGGAGCCACCTGAGTTGTGGGCCTCACAGCAGCGACAGCATGCCCTGTGCTGCCCTGCTGAGAGCCCTGACAACTGCAGGACTCAGCCACAGGAGCTGGCATAAGGGGGGCCTGGGATCCTGATCCCAGGCTCCCCCATGCACCAGCAATGAAGTGGAACGGGCTCTAATGCATGATCCCACAATTGTACCTTCTGCCATGTACATGTAGCATGGCAGGTGTCACTGTGTGGACTGCATATTAGATCCTATCATGCCTTTACCTGTGTGTGTAGAGGGGCCCACAGAGACATGCAGTCCTGATGAGCTTAGGGGGGCAGAAGCAGTCACTGATCACAGCCAGATATTTTAATACATTTGTGGAAAAGTACTACTGACCCGTATGTAGACACCGCTCCCAGCGGTAGGCCAGGTTCTCCTGCCCCTTAATTTGTCCTTTATTGCTCTTCTGTGTCTAACAGGGGAGGTATTTGCTACTTTTTGGTCTGGCAGCTCTGTGAAAGATAATGGGACTATAAATGAACAACACACCGACTGAGAATCATGTGTATTCATGGGGCATCTGCTGGGCACAGAGAGCAAGTTACAAGGCATAGTTAGATCTAGGGCAAAAAAACTTCACTTCAAATGTCCTTTTGTGAGGAAATGTGCATGCACACACACACACCCTTAACTTAAAACAGTCTCTCTGAGAACCTGCTTCAATCATGACTCAGATGGCACAAGGGACCCAGGATATTGCTAGCAAAGGAAAAGGAATTTTGTAGACAGCCTCTGCCACTTCACTCCTCCAGGGCCATGAAGGTACCTGCTCTTCTCCAGCCTGGAACTACTCACCTGCATATCTGGGCTGGAGATAGAAGAGTCGGGTGAATGAGAGTCTCTGCATCTCCCCTGGGGACAGGATATCATACCTGCAGCAAGACCAAGAACCAGAATTACCACCAATCAGCAGTGGAGAACCATGAGAGCACCTCTTCAGAGAAGCAGACTCAGTTATCTCCCCTCCTCCACTGAGCCCCCTGTATAAGGCACCAGCCCCTCCCCAGCATAGCATTCAGAGCTACTAGGCCCAGAACTCAGGAATGGCTCTGCAGCCCCAGGGATGTTAGATCACCTTGGAGGTAACTGAACACACAAGGGACTATCCACCTTTAACATAACAGCAGGGGATGCAAGTCCTGACCCACAATGCTGAGCTGACATCTTTATTCCCCAGTACTGTTCCCCACTCCTTTGCCTCAATGGAGGCAGAGAAAATGCCACTTGTGAACCAAGTGTGTGTGGGGGGTTCAGGACTCATCCACACCATCACCAAGACCTACACAAATCCACTTGTAAATAATGTAGCAGCCTTACCAGTTCCAATCCACCTGCTGGTCCAGACCTCCTGTCCTTGCCAGCAAGTCAGACTGTAGAGGCACAAAAGGAGAGAGCACAAAACAGTCCTGAACATATCTCCCTTCCTCCCTGCTGCTCTCCTCTTCCCACTGCCAGCCCCTGCTTTCCTTGGCTAAAGTCACCTCCCTCAGGCTACGATCCCTATCTATCACTTTCACCCTGTAACACCCATCTTTCGCGTCCAGGTCACCCCTGTCCTTGACACATCTCCACCTCCTCAGCTGCACTCTCCAGCAGTGTGCTTAATCTGCTGATTTCTAAGGGAGCGTTCTGTCCTGATAAGGGACAGCATCTCTGCTCATTGGGACCTGTATATCCTTGTATAGTGCCGCCAGGCTTGGATACACAAAACACCACAGCGTCCCCACAGTCAGACTGAGATGGAGCAACTCTGCTAGGCTCCAGTCAGCTACCTTAATGACTCACCAGCCCAGCCAGCTCCAGGAACCTCAGGATTCTCTCATCATCTGCAGACCCTAGAGGACAAAGACTGTTACCACTACATCCAGAGTAGCAGGAGCAACACCATGCCTAAAGTCATAGCTCTAAAGAGGGGCCACAGGGCAGGGGGGGAGGGAGAGGAGCATTTGCTACTTCCCCTACTTTCATTTTTAATGGAGTCTCTCTAAAAGTTTAACTCCTACATGCCTAAGCCAGTTCTGAGGTTCACATCTCAGGTTGAGCTCCAATTAGAGCATAACGTGAAGGGAAGAATTAAAGGAATAGAGGTGAACGGAAAACCAGATCACTTGTTAGATACTTCAGTGAATTCTACTCACCCGAAAGCGGATAAATCTCCTTCAAAGGATAAATCACCTGGTTAAATAAACCAAAGACACCCCACATCAGAGGAAGCTGGATGTGGGGATTCATTCCAACCACACACGCAGCCTCTAACACCTAGGGAGAGCCAGGAATGAGGGAAGCAGTCACACCTGAACACTCCCCTACAGGCCTTTAAGCAGCATATAGGTCCCTGACATCAGAGCTGCCTGACCTGGCCTGTCCCAAGCCTGAGGACTGCAAGAGTCACCAGTGCTTGTGTGTGGCTGGATGTCAAATAGGCTGAAAGAGCCCAGCCCCTCCTGTGACAGACAGGCACAGGCAGGGACTCACCTGCTCCCTCAGGGTTCCATCAGTGAAGAAAGGCCTCTGCGGCAGGAACACCACCCCATGGGGGCCAAAGCATGTCAACATGGAGACACTCCCTGCACAAATCCAGGAGACAGAGTCTTGTCAATACCAAGTACAAGCCCAAATCTCCATCCCCTCACTTCCTCCCCATCCCCATCTTCAGTGCACAGGCCTGCAATAGCAGGACACAGGCACCAGGCAGAGACCAGGCTTCTGGGGAGCAGAGGTCTGATCTGCAACACAATGCACTAAAATGAGAAGGTCAGAGCACAGCAAAAGAAGAGAAGACAGAGCAAATGCAGCCCTGACAGCACTCACACTCATGTGCACTGCTTGTCCCAGAACTACAAGGCTTGAGCTTCACTCCCGACTTACCTAGGACAGCCCCAGCTTGTGTGTCCAGGGCAATGCTTTGGAGAGTCACAGCCCTTACCCTGAGTGCTTTCCCAAAGGCCACTAAGGACCCTGAGGAAAGACGTCTTCCCTGTGCCAGTGTTCCCCACGATCAGCAGGTTGTTCCCTTGCGAGATCTTTAAGTTGAGGTCTTTGATGAGCAGCTTGCCTGAGGATGGGACTGCAAGCGTAACCCTCTCCAGGAGGAAAGCTGTATCCTCTGGCACCATCTCCTCTTCAGATCTGCTGCTGCCCAGCCACCGAGACCGAGGGAAGAGAGAAGAGTTCAGGGTAAGTGGCAGTTGCTTTCCCACTGCCTTCCCCAACACCATAACCAGGAGCCTGAAAATCCTGGTGACTGGTACCTTATGAACACCTCCAAAAGAGACTTGACTTGCAAGGCTAAAGAGAACCAGTTGCAGTAGTATGCTGCCCCACAGAACAACAGACTAACTTGTGACCCAGGACAGAACCATGGCACTGACCCACAACATGCAGCAGGGGTTCTGGCTCCAAGAACCGCCTAAGCCAGCCCACAAGATCCCTGGGAACCCTACACTCAGCTGGAGGGGGAATAAAATCCTGCTAGAATAAACCCTTTAGCACCAGAATGTGATCTCCAGCTCCTCTTTTTGAAAGTTCCTTGCCATGGCAGCTGCCAACTGGAAGGCAACAGTGAGAAGGTTGACCACTTGGGGTATATCTACATTGGCTCCCTGCTGAGCCTCATCACACCTGCTCAGCTGGCAACAAAGCCCACATATATGAAACAGTGTAGATCATAGAGTTGCTTTGAGCACTGCTTAGGTCTCCACTCTTTCAAAAACTGGGTTTGCCCCCCCATCCACCACCCAAATGGAAAAAACACATGCAAAAGAATACTGTATAAACAGCCCATATCGGTCAATATGTTAAGGAAGCAGTGGAAGCCCTATTGCAAGAGACCTTGAAATGCAACAAAAAACAGGGAGCACATTGTGAGGGACAAACCTCACCAATGGGGACAGGAAGGGATCAGCCTTTACAGCAGTGTCCTCAGCTCCCAGTCAGGGTCAGGCACCCACTATGCAAAGCACTGCATAAACACAAGACCTAGTCCAGACCCCAGGGACCTTACAGACTGGTCTGTAAACAGAACACAGCAAGAGGAAATCAACAATGGGAGGTGGACAGGAGCAGAGGTGATGACCATAGGAATGTAAGCACCAGCTGGCCACAGCCTGGTGACGTGGGGCCTCTGCAAGACACACTAGGAAATCTGGTTGTCACACCAGATGACAAGGCTAACCTATTTAACAATTTCTTTGCCTCCATTTTCCTGAGCAGGGACCGGGTCACCCCCCACACCGGGACCTCCATAGGCCCCAGGGGAGGCACACCCAGACCTAGGGTCAGCGAGTACCTAGTCAGGGAACTTCTGGAGGGACTGGACATATTTAAATCAGCTGGTCCTGACGATCTCCACCTCAGTGCTGAGGGAATTAGCAGAGGTCATTGTGGGACCCCTGGCACGGCTTTTTGAGCACTCGTGGTGCTCTGGCGTGGTGCCAGAGGACTGGAAAAGGTCCAATGTGGTTCCCATTTTCAAAAAAAGGGAGGAAGGAGGACCCAGGAAACTATAGGCCAGTTAGTCTTAACTCGATCCTGGGTAAGCTTTTTGAGAGAATTATCCTGGCACATGTCCGCGAGGGGCCAGCAGGGAACATTATGCTTAGGGGCAACCAACATGGGTTCATTAAAGACAGGTCCTGTCATACCAACCTGGTGGCCTTCTATGACCAGGTCACAAAATCCTTAGATGCAGGGGTAGCAGTGGACGTAGTCTTTCTGGACTTTAGGAACGCCTTCGACACCGTCTCTCACCCCATTCTCATTAAAAAACTAGGGGACTGTGGTGTTGACACCTATACAGTCAACTGGGTCACTAACTGGCTGGAGGGCCGCACCCAGAGTGGTGGTGGTGGACGGGTCATTTTCGACCTGCAGGGATGTGGGCAGTGGGGTTCCCCAGGGCTCGGTCCTCGGGCCTGTGCTGTTCAACATTTTCATCAGCAACTTGGACGAGGGGGTAAAAAGCACCCTGTTCAAATTCACAAATGACACTAAGATGTGGGGGGATGTGGGCACGCTAGAAGGGAGGAATAGGCTGCAATCGGACCTAGACAGTTTACAGGGGTGGGCAGATGAGAACAGGATGGGTTTCAACACTGACAAGTGCAGGGTACTGCACCTGGGGGGGAAGAACCAGCAACATACCTACAGGCTGGGGAACTCCCTTCTTGTCAGTGCAGAGGCAGAAAAGGATCTTGGAGTCATTATTGATACCAAAATGAACATGGGCTGACAGTGTGGGGACGCGGTCAGGAAGGCCAACCACACCTTGTCATGCATCCA